GCATAGTGCAAGTCGCGACATGCGTCAAATGCTAACATTGAGTCATTGTCCCGAAAGTTGCTGCTGAGTTGGTGCAGGTGACTACTTGCAGAGCCGCAAAAGGTGACATATATAGTCATGGTTTATAATCAGTTCGGAATCTTCCAGTGTTGTACGCACCTGTTAGAATGATACTCTTCAAAAAACATATGAAAACATCAAATTCTCTGAATTCGCCATAGTTCACCTTTAGATACTAGTGTTACTAGTGAATCCACATGAAACCGAAACCGAAACCGGTTGCTCTGTGGAATTGTAATGTGCGGTGAGATTGGCTCAGCTGAGCCGAATCCGCAGCATCGACCCTTCAGTTGGCTTGGCCCGCTGGCAAATCCTTCCCAAAAAACAGTCTGGTTGGTGGTTGACCTACCCCTGGTTAATATATGGTTGATATATGGTTAATATATGGTTAATATATGGTTAATATATGGTTAATATATGGTTAATATATGGTTAATATGTTAATATATGGTTAATAAAAATCTGGTTGGTGGTATACCAACCCCTCTGAAAAATGATGGACTTCGCCAGTTGGGATGATGACATTCCCAACTGAATGGGAAGTCATATTTTAAAATTCCATGGTTCCAGTCACCACCAAGCAGATATTGAAGGTCTAGCTGGGAAAATTGATAGACCTAAATGGATTACTCTAGCGCTCTGCGCGATTTTCCAGCTGATGACAGCCCGGAATGTTACGAACTTTTCAGCAACTTCCAAATCTTGTCCGATGCCATGATGCTGATCAAACCGATCCGTCACCGTCCGCGTTTTTTTGTTTAACACAAAGCCGAAGACCCTGTCTCCACAAGCAAACCTGACCTGGTTGGTGCCTCGAATACATCAAAAAACGAAGTATGCGGAACAAGTAAAAATACGGGGTATGTTTGAACATGTGGTTACAACTAAATACAGCTATCAACTTAGATTTTGAGGTACCAACCTGGCAGAAAACTGCAAGATCTGCAAGCGGCCTGTACACTGGACGGTTCTCAGCGTCTCTCTAAAACGTTCCTGGATTGGAACCAAAGGCAATTCGTATGTTGCATGGACCTACATAGTTCCTTAGTTATGCAGAATGAGAAGACAAGTTCCTAAGGTTGATGGGTGCGAAATCCTGCACCAGTTGATAGGTGGTAAACATCCCATTATTTGTAGGGTTTGGATGGGTTTTAACATGTTTAACCAGCCAAGGAGGTACAGGATTTCTTCCATCGACAGTTCCATGTTTGTCAAATGATAAATGGAAAGACAACAACTGAGCTGAGAAGAGATCCTGCACAGGGTATTCACTTTGGCGGTCCGAGAAGGCATCTTGTCCATAGGTGACTGTAGGTGCAGATGGTAGATGTCAGTTTTTGAAAGTGGTTCAGGAAACATGTTGAGATCTACAATTTTGGGTAATTATCGAAGGAAGTTTAGAAGTTAAACTTCCGACAATATGGACAGATGAAAAGCAGAGCAGGGAAGAGGCAGAGACAAGAGAAAGATCAGAAGAAAGAAGATGCAGATGTGCGAAAAGGCTGGTCAGATGAGAGATGAAAATTTGCACGCCATTGTGGCGCGAAGCACATTTGCAAGTCAAAATGTTAAAAACACCAGGGGTTCGGACCACTTTTGGAAGTTGCGATGTCGAAAAAGTGCACGCCGTTGTGGCGCGAAGCACATTTGAAGTCAAAATGTACAAAGCACACCATTCTCGGACCACTTTTGGAAGTTGCGATGTCGAAAAAGTGCACGCCGTTGTGGCGCGAAGCACATTTCCAAGTCAAAATGTACAAAACACCACATGTTCGCGCGACTTTTGGAGGTTCGGATGTTGAAAAAGTGCACGCCGTTGTGGCGCGAAGCACATTTCCAAGTCAAAATGTACAAAACACCACATGTTCGCGCCACACTTTTGGAGGTTCGGATGTTGCAAACGTGCACGCCGTTGTGGCGCGAAGCACATTTAGAAGTCAAAATGCACAAAAAACACCAGCCTCGGACCACTTTTGGAGGTTCAGATGTCGCTTCGCTTCGCTTCACTACAATACACTACATTACACTACACTACACTTCACTACACTACACTACATTACATTGCCTTTCACTACACTTCACTACACTAAATTACATTACACTACATTACACTACACTACACTCCACTACACTACAACTACAACTACAACTACACAACTACACTCCACTCCACTACACTCTACTACACTACACTCCACTACACTCCACTACACTCCACTACACTACACTCCACTACACTACATTACACTCCACTACACCACACAACAATACAACTACAACTACACAACTACACTCCACTACACTAAAGGACACTACACTACACTACATTACACTACACTCCACTACACTACACTACCTTCCGCTACACTTCACTACATTACACTACACTACACTCCACTACACTACAACTACAACTACAACTACAACTACACAACTACACTCCACTACACTAAATTACACTACACTACATTACACAACACTACACTCCACTACACTACAACTACAACTACAACTACACAACTGCACTCCACTACACTCCACTACACTCCACTACACTCCACTACACTCCACTACACTACAACTACACCTGCGACTACACAACTACAACTCCACTACACGAAATTACACTACACTACATTACACTACACTACACTACATTCCACTAAACTCCACTACACTACACTACATTACACTACACCACATTACACTGAATGACACTGCACCACAGATAGACAGGTAGACAGATAGACAGATAGATAGACAGATAGACATGTAGACAGCTAGACAGATGAAAGAGATAGATAGATAGATAGATAGATAGATAGATAGAGATAGATAGATGGATAGATAGATGGATAGATAGATGGATAGATAGATAGATAGGTAGATAGGTAGATAGGTAGATAGGTAGATAGGTAGATAGGTAGATAGGTAGATAGATAGATAGACAGATAGACAGATAGACAGATAGACAGATAGACAGATAGACAGATAGATAGATAGATAGATAGACAGACAGATAGATAGATAGACAGACAGATAGATAGGTAATTAGATAATTAGATGAAAGAGAGAGAGAGAGATATATATATAGATAGATCGATAGTTAGATAGATACATAGAAGATAGATAGATAGGTAGGTAGGTAGGTAGGTTAGGTAGGTAGGTAGGTAGGTAGGTAGGCAGGCAGGTAGGTAGGTAGGTAGGTAGTCAGAGAAAGAGAGAGAAAGAGAGGAGACCTCAAGCACCTTTCAGTCCATCGGTGGCTTCGCTCTGCCATCCCTGATTCACAACAACCAATCTCTCCTATAGGTTTCCTATTTTTGAAACTTCCGCCACCGCCTTGTGCGGTACTACTGGTACTGTATAATCTAGGACGGGTGTATTTACTTTAAAAATATGGTTAAAACATGTTAAGACCTTATCTATACTATACAGATGTTTTGAGATTTTGAGATTTACCCAGTTTTCATCATATATCATTTGTGTGGATCTTGCTCCGAACGATCTGTAATCCGTGCCACGTCGAGACGTGGAAAATCACAGTCACCACCTGGACAAGGTTCCATGCTCAGACGTTTCGGGTATGACTGCAGCTTTGCCACAACATGGCCACATCAGAGGTCAACCTATGTTCTAGAAGTGATGGGTTGACAGGGAAGCATCAGGCTCATAGAGCGATACAATATCTGGTCTTCTCTGAAAATAGGATACCCCATGATACCCCCTGCTGGTCAATCATTATTTTGTCCTACACTATGTACCCCGCTGGCATGATTAATGATTGCTATACTTCATTTGGCGAGCCGCTATGTGCATCCCGCATCTAGAAAACTGATGTCCACAAATCCTCGCAGCCACGCAGATCCAGAGCCAAGGCAACAGTCATACGTGTCCAAAATTGTCCACGCAGGAGACAACGCACTGCATGGATATATATCTGCTGGCAGCCCGCTGGATCATCTCTGTCCGAATTTCTTGGCCTGAATCCTGAGTAAACCAAACCAGCATTTGTATATGAAAGCAACCCAAAGAACAGAATCATAAAGTGGGATGGTTATCTAAAGATCAGACTCATCCGTCATGCTTACCCCCTGCATTCGGGTAGGCGTGACATCACACTTTCGCATCCGTCATGCGGCGAGCATTTCAAGCGAGGCTGAACATACCTTTGTTGAAATACTGGTTGGTGGTATACCTACCCCTCTGAAAAATGATGGACTTCGCCAGTTGGGATGATTTTCCATTCCCAACTGAATGGAAAGTCATTCAAAATTCCATGGTTCCAAACCACAACCAGTTGGTTGTATATAATATGTTACTATATACATCATATATACACATATATATATATAATTATATATTATATTATATATATATACCCACATTCACATACATTGGCCAAATTTGTTGAAATATGTTGATCATTCAATATCATCCAATATCCCCATGGATTTAACCATGGACTCTGTGAATCTCGTATGCCAGTCGTCACTCTTCGCCCTGCAAATAAAAAAGGTCGTCAAAACATGCCAAGTCTGCAAGCCAAGCAGTTAGAACGTTTGATCAAATTTGATCAATGTCTGCGAATATAGCAATATTCAATCATATTCAATCATGTTATATATATGATATTCATCAACATTCATCAGCATTCAATGCAGCAGCCAAGTCTTCTTGGAGCGATTTTCAGAGAGTTGTGTAGACGTCTGGAAAGAGAGTCAAAGCAGAAACTGAACTCGCCTGATGCCTCTCCTTGTGTACGTGGCTGTTTAGATCAGTGCCAATCTTAGATATCCTGCAAAAAAATAAATTCTGAGCTGGTTAGTAGATAATACAGTTGATACCAAAAGATACCAAAAGACTAAAGGATTAGTTTCTACCCATCTAAGATTGACCGAGACACGACACGGCTTCGACAGATCAGCTGTCAGACCAGCCTATGGAGGAGGCATCGCAGTTGGTGGCGGTCCCTTCGGCCCTGGCACAATACGAAACCTTCGGCGAAAATCACGAAAAAAAACCCACCAGTTGTTTCCCTTTTCTGAATGAACATCCCATAGAAATTCCATTTAAAAATTCCCAATCCGAAATCCAGAGATCTCTTTGAATTGAACGTGTTTTTCCCGGTGGCCGGCCTGCCCTCAGAGCGTTTTCCGGCACTTGCGGCACTGCCTGACAATGACACGACGATACGGACGGTGTCCAGCAAAGTCGCTGAGGAAGTAAAACACGAACATCTTACTATGCAATGACCATCTGAGAGGTGATATATCTATTCTATATTCATCTATCAGATATTCCAATGGTACACATCATTTTGATATTCATCTATAAAAAGTGTACCATTGTTTCATAGTAGATGTTTAATATTGTTTAATAATATCAATATATCCAATAATATAGTAGTCTGATACTCTAATATCAGATTCATATCCATAAAAATATCAATATCCAATTTCATAGTAGTCTGATTCTGATACTCTAATATCAGATTAATATCCATTAATATCAATATCCATTAATCTCCATTATTAGTAAAGTAGTCTATAGTAATTTATTGGATCTTAGACTATACCATTATTGGATCCAACTAATTGGACGGTGAACAAAATCCCATGGTGCTTTTACGGATTTTACCAGGGCGTTGGCGAAGCTGCTTGTAATTGGTTTATGGTTTATAACCACAAGAAGCAGGGCTTATGCTAGATATTATATATATACAGTATATATGGTTGGCCTCCTGTAAACTTATATACATTAGATGTGGAAAATCTCCACCTTATTAGTAGATCACTTTCCTGCTCCATGGCTTTTCATCGTTGCGAAAAACCCCGGGATAACTGGGGCACCACCAGGCGCGCCGACCAACCTTGGCTTTCGGAGCATTCGCCTGGCTTGGAACAGTCTGGACCACTAAGATCACAATGGCCGGTCATTGAAACGTGAAATCTTTAAGTGGCAAAAAAATGGTTCAAACAGGCTGAATCTATGAAGATCTGAGGTTGTATCAAACAGATTTCAAAATCTCGAGTCCAAATGCAGGCATAACTTGGACCACAAGGTCCCTGACCACATGAGGGCCAAAGTTGCCAAAAAATGCAGTTTTCTGGTGAAAAACTATAGCAAGGCAATCTCCTGCATGCACATGTTTGCTTGTAGCCCCCGCCTGCGGTAGCACAGCTTCCTGGCTTTGCAAAAGTGTCTGTCTGCTGGCCACTGGGCTTCTCAAAGACAATTGGACACAATCCCACGAACTGTCTTTCCATAACTTCTCTCAGTGCAAGTGTTCAAACAAATTCATTACTAACCCCCCCGGAAACCATGGTTTATATAGTAGGGGATTCAACATAATCGGGACCATACCATTTAGGAGGTGTTTAACGCTAGGGATATGGGATTAACCATGAAAAATGGTGGTCTTTACCATAGAAAAGTGGTGAACAATGGTGGGTTTTTACCATCGAAAACGGTTTTAACTATGAACAATGGTGGTTTTTGCCATGAAACATGGTAAACAAATGTAAACAACTATGTTTTTTGACCAGAAAAAACGGTTTTAACCATTAAACATGGTGGTTTTTGCCATGACAAATGGTTTCAAATGCTTTTAACCAAGCATTAATCACAGCACTTTTCATCATGTCTCGTTTCTTTTTTTGATAATCCATATTATGGATAGTAATTATTAAATAATCATCAACTATTATAAATATCTCCATTATTGATAATCCATTAAATAATAATGTCAATATATCCATTATAATAATAGATAATTGTTGACATTAAATATCTCCATTATTGATAATCCATTAAATAATTGATGTCTTATCAATAATGTCATCATTATAATCCATTAAAAAAAATGGTGGTTGATAAATAATTATAAAATTAATGTCAACCACCATTTTTTTTTGGTTCCAGATGTTTTCCCCAGGGACGGTGCCTGTGGTCGTGGCAGCGGTGCCGGTGGAGGCGCCTGCGCCGGTGGCGCCGCTGGTGGCGCCTGGGCGGGTGGCCCTTGAGGCGGCGGAGCCTGCACCGAGGCCACAAAGAATGGAGCCCTAGGGGGTTGGTTTATTTCATGAAAAATCCGAGGAAAATGGATGATGTATAGGGGTACCCATATTTTAGGAAACCTCCATATATATATAATTGTGTTGAGTTCTAGATGATACATTACATGGTATATCAAATATGTTTACGTGTTTTTAAAACAAATATCTTGTATAATATGGATCATAGATGGTTTCCAATATTTCATTGGATCCAGACATGTATCTACATAAATGACAATACTTCACTGACATAAAAGGTTCGGCCATTTGGGGATGATTTCCTCTGTGAATTATCATTCCAATAAATTGCAGTGATGTCCAATGAGGTCCTTATAATTAACTTATCGATCATACATGTGTTTATAGTAACCACCCAAAAAATACAAACCCAAATTATCACAGGTTTTTACTTTAATGGGATGTTACCAAGGACTATCTTTTTTTGGGGGCTACCTCTCAGGGTATTCTCTTGGATCCCAAACATGTACTACCCTCTGCTTATGTAACGTATAGAAAATCCACCTGTTTTAATAGGTAATCATCTATTTCTATGGTCCATTCTTCTATAGCAAACTTTTAGTTTACTGGAGGGCATCCTTTTACTGTTAGTTTACTGGAGGGTATCAATGGTGATACCCTCCAGTAAACTAACAGTCTTTGAAAGCGGTAAATCATCGAACTACATGAGCCAGTTCCGCAAATTGTTAAATCACCAGAGGGTACCCCCCTTGGTGAAGTAAATCCAAGAATCAACTTTCAAATGAGGATGGTCTGTCTTATTAACCATGGCATATAGATAGATTGACTACATTAGATTGAATTGGATTTGATTGCATTGGATTAGATTGGATAGATATATAGATAGATCATGACATGGATCCCCAGCCTGCTGCGGCACTGGCTGCTGTGCCAAGCCCGCCTGTGCTGCCTGCTGCAAGACCACTTGCTGTGCTGCGGCTTGCTGTGCGTGGTGGTGCGCCTGTAGGAGCGCGGAACATTTCTAGCGGGTTTTGGTGGGTTTTAATGGGTTTCAATGGAGTTTTAATATGTCTTAATGGGGATTTGATGGAGATTTGATGGGGAAATACTAGGGACATTTCATGGGGATATACTTGGGTAATTACACATAGATAGCTGGGAAATTCCGCGATATAAATGGAGGTGTTTATGGGAAAACATCACCGAACTAAATGGGTGATTTTCCATAACAACAGTAAGCAGGACAACCCCCAATTCAGGTGCCATAGGTTTTGACTGTTCTTGACCCATCTCATAAAGGATCACGGGCCACCTTTGGGTGTCGGTGAAACCGGCTGAAAAGGCTTGATCTACCACTGGGACATTCCGAACATATTCTGTAGATGTTTGAATGGCATGATTAGTTCCCTTTCTACTATCGAATTGGGCCAATTTATCTGCATATTCCGTGCGCGAAAAGTTATTTCAAAATGGAAAGCACATGACATTCCATCCAGATCATCGCCAAGTATTTCTGTGACATTTCTCCACCAATGGGACATTTCTGCAACCATATGGGGTACAATGTCCTCAAAATTTACCATATGTATCTGGGTAAATTCGTCAAACTACCATTGTACCAAAGGCTTATCATATATTTGCAACATATCCATGCCAAAAAATACAAAAAACAAAAATACTTTACCCCTAGACTCTCTTTGGTAAACTAACGTAGCTATGGAAAATCACCATTTTTAATGGGAAAATCCACTATAAATGGCCATTTTCCATAGCAATGTTAAATTTCCAGAGGATAACCATCCATTAACCATCCATTAACCATCCATTAACCATCCATTAACCATCCATTAACCATCCATTAACCATCCATTAACCATCCATTCAATCCATAAAAACTGGTGGATTTTCCAGTTCGCGATGATGGTCGCGCGCCTGAGCTCTAAGAGCCGCCTGCTGCGCGTCGATCTGCTGCTGTCGGAAGTGCTGATGCGCAACCTCCTGGTTTTTCTGAAAGAAATTTGGCTGGGAGATATATATAGTGTATATATATATATGGGAGTTATATATATATATTATATTATATATATATATATTATATTATATATATATTATATTATCTATATATATATACCCGAACTGAATCGAGGTTTGTTCATGAGACCAGCGGCACTAGCGGCTAGTGTTTATACAATATCCTTGTATCTATGCTACAAAAGTGCTACAAATAATCCGCCATTACTGCTGTACAAGGATATAGAGAGTATATATGTATATATATACACTGTATATATGTATACGTATATATATATATATGTATATACTCTAAACCATAATATTGTGCTATATATATAATATACGTGGAGAGAGAGAGAGAGGGAGGGAGGGAGGGAGGGAGGGAGGAAGGGAGGGAGGGAGAGCGAGAGCAAGAACAAGTAAAGTATATATACATAGAGAGAGAGAGGGAGAGTCCACATGTGCACATTCATATACATATCTATTGTATTCATCTACGTATATGTTATTGTATGTGCAGGTACATGATGGTGTATAATGGTACAGTATATGTCAATAGTTGTGGGACATCACAAATGAGTGGCGATCCAATCATCAAAACAGGATTAAAAAAAAAAACACCAGGAATCGTTGCCAAGGAGCATTGAATTTGTAAGCCTTCAAATAGTTCAGTTGCGCTTCTGGTGTGTCCTGCAAGGATCGAGTCAGGGCCAGTCGCGCAGTGCTATGACGTGCGACTGGCACTTCCGGCCAAACCAGCAATTCATCCAGACCCCGAAAAACCACCACGAAATCGTCCTGGAAAATCTTAATGGATGGTTAATGGATGGTGACCCTCTGGAAATTTAACATTGCTATTGAAAATGGCCATTTACAGTTGATTTTCCCATTAAAAATTGTGATTTTCCATAGTTGTCCCATGATGTGCCATGATGTGCCATGACTTTTTAATGGATGGTTAATGGCTTGTTATCTGTTGGGAAGTCCTGGAAGTCCTGGAAAATCCTATCAGCATCCCGCGACCGTCCCAGCGGTCCACAGGCTCGCCCTCAGTAGGAATGGGTTGGCCCAGGCATGTGAAGGCCACACTGGTGAAGAGCTTTTGCAACTGGCGCAGGCCGCCAACGCAAACAACGTAAACCAACCATTTGATGGAGCATGGTGCTATATAGTGCCATATTATCATGATATAGTATCAACAAAATGTCTTATTGTGTCCAAAAGTTGTATCTGATACCAGATTTTTAGACAAGCCCAGATGCCCCAAATTACTTGGATGATCCTGGACTTAGGACTGACGTTTACTAAATGGGTGGTAAATCGATTCCGAAACAAGAAAATGCATTGTGCAGTACTGAATTGTCTTGTCTTGTTGTGTCTCAGGTTGCAGTTGTGAGTTGTGTGTGATGGATGTGATGGTGTCTTGCCGGGCTGTCTTGCCAGGCTGTCTTATCAAAACACATGTTTTCTCCCCCAGCCTCAACAGTATTGTAAAAGTGATGCAAACAGCTATGCAGTCTGCTCCCCCAAGATCCAGCAAAACGTGACCAATGAGAGACTGAAATAAGGTTCTTGGTCTAAAGAAGCAATGGCTCACAGAGGCAACCTTGGCAACATGAGCCCTTGCTGGGGTATGCAAGTTTTGCTGGACTATCATACAAATCCTAACCATTAAATTATATACATAATAAGTCGCTATACATACTGGTGCAGCATCTCAGCTGTTGGCAAATTTCACCCTCAGCTGACTTTGGCTGCTTCTAAGCACACTTTGGCGCAATGAACAAACTTCCTCCTCCTTCTCCTGCCACATGGTAGTACGCAAAAAGGTCAAGCTGAACCAATTGGAAGCTGTATGTTCCTAGATGTGATTCGGGTTGGAACTCCAAATAATCGGAATCTGGTTTGAGGTTAAAAATCAGAGACCCAATTAGACGCTGTCATTCTCTTGTGGCACTCGGATCTTCAAACTGCATGGGCAGTTTTCATTCGGCAGGTTTCGCTAAGGGTACAGCACAAGACCAGTAAATTCCACTGATTTTCAATCACTTGCATATTTTCTCAGAACCTGAATGATTAAAAAACAGTAAAAAAAATTAAAAAACAACTGAATTGTTCAAGGTTCGCAGGGAATTGTAGGTTATAGTTATACTGTGTTATACTGTTATACTATACATTTTGAGTGTTTGAACACTAATAGAACTTCAATACCACATCAGTCTCTCCTTCAAGCGTGCTTCTGCTGCTGCTTGCATCTCTCGGAGTCGTGACCTAAATGGAGCCTGCAGGGCGGCGTTGCTGTAACCGGTGGATTTTTTTTCTCCCAGTTCTTTTGGAATCAACCTACAATTGACCTATAGCAGCCCCAAAAAAAAGTGCTTGAAAATAACTTGGAAACCTCAGAACCATAGGGGAAAACGTCAAACTGCCATCATGGAATATGGTGTTCTATCATGTTCTATCTTTTTGAGGACCCCTATAATGTTGGATCACGTTGGATCCACCATGTTACAAACCATCCTCAATGAGAGAACAAACTTTGGGGATCTTTGGGGTGTAGGGTAAAGGGTCCCCCACTTGTCGGTGGCCTACAGTTTTATACACCGCAATTTTTTGCGGATGGTTGATGGCATGGTAAATCTCTCCCCAGGATTTCTACGGATTTGTTGACTCTTCGTCCAAACGTCACCCTCTTCTGGGGGGTTAACTAGTCTTAAAGACTCAAAAAGACATTAAACTAAAAACACAAGAACATTTCAGCAGTTCTAAAGCAGCCAAATCTTTAGACCCCCAGAAGATCCAGATCCTCACTATTCTGTGGTAATTCAATAATTGTGGAACATTCACCTGTGTAGAATTTTACCTCTTAAGCATGTCCATTTTCCGATTCCAGAGTTATATTGCGATATAATCCTTTCCCCCTATTAATTACTAAACCCCCCCCAAATACTAACAACTAGGGTCCATCTCCCAGTTTGTTTCCAAATTTCAGCTTGGCCAATTTGACTTTTAATTGATCCCCTTTAAAGAAAACAACAATCTATATATATATATATTCTGGAAGGTACCCAGCTACATCCATCCACCTTGGTTCGATGTTCCCGAACTCTGCCGTGCCTTAAACTCGCGCTCCGATTGTTTCATCGCTTCAGCGCGCAGCTCTTCGTTCCTCAACAAACCCTCCAAAGTCATCTGGGACGAGAACGTCAAGCGTAGCTCCTCCCAAGTCTGGTGAGAAAGCCATGGAGCTGGTGGCTTTGGGAAGAAATCTCCGAGAATTCTACGTAATTTTTTGCTCAATTATAGCTGGATCCAAACAAAAAGTGTTCATAAAAACTCAACATTGGCACTTGAACCCCAAGGTCCACCACCTGCCCGGGACATGTGGGACCGACCCTTGCTGCAGACAAGGTTTTGGAAAGAAAGAAAGAAATCGAAAGAAATCGAACCTAAGAAAGAAACAAAAGAATGATCTCCAGCTCCTCCTCCAGTTCGAAGGTTTGCGATGCCACTACAGCCTAGCAGGCATTGAGGAGATCAGTGATGGAGATCAGTGATGTGTCATCTGCGGAAATCCTCTTACCACCATGAAAACGGTAAAGTATGAAAACTATAACGTTTGATCTAGCATGTGTACGGATAATGTAGTACTATGTACATAGTACCGCAATGTACCGCATATATACATACATGAACCCATGTCATATGTCTGTCGGCCTGCATGACAGTCTGTCTGTCAGCCTGTCTGTTAGTCTGTCTGCATTTTTATCTACATATCTATATGTCATATATGTATCTATGCATATATGTTTCTATCGCTGTGTCTGTGCATGCATATATATATATATATGCATGTTTAAACGTATCAATGTATGCATCTGTGCATGTACTTGTGTATATAGTCTGATACTCTATGCGTGCATGTACGTATGCATGTATGCTCGTATGTGCCTATGTCTATATACGTGTGTATATATGCACATGTAGCTCTGCATGTGTGCATACGTGTCTGTATACACACAAATCATGCATACATCACTACATCTGTCTTTGCATGCACATATACAGTTACATGCACATATATAACTATATGATATATGTATTATATATATGATATATGTATTATATATAATTGTATATGTACATGTGTGATCCATACAGGATCTACGTTTGACCGGCAGTCACCGGGCCTCAAAGTTCTGCTGAGTCTTCTGATGACACTCCAACTCATGGTGCATGTGCCGCTGAAAGAATTCCAACAGGCCTTACGTCCAAGTCATCGAAGAGTCAAATGGCTATGAATCAATACCTATGAAAATACCATTTTTAGGGGGATGAACATCCATAAATCCCAGCTATGACTTGGGGTGAACAAAAGGTACCAGGGTTTTGACCCATCCCCAAATCTGAACTAGTAGACAATCACTTTCATCACTTTTCGATCTTTTGAGGGCTATTGTGCAAAATCATTGAGAATATGGGACTCCAACCGGGGCATCAAGACACTTGATGCACCTTCTGATGAGCCACATTGGTCGACGAGGAGTTTAAGATCCCAACGTGTCTCGGTCATCAAATCCTGTCGCCAGCTTCTTTGTGATGAGTGCTCCTATCTATGAATGCTTCCCCTATCTATCTGGGTTTGCCCAAAAATGGTAGATAATGTGGCATACAGCAAAACGGCAACTCGCGCTTGGAAAATGATGGTGAGCAACTGGATTTTGGAATAATTGGGATCTCCTATTTTTAAACACACCAAGAGGCCAACACTGCGCATTGGCCGTGGTAAGGATGCCTGACTAATTACATCGCTACATGTTATTATGAGTTCTACATGATATCATATCATGTCATATGATACCATTATACATTAGATTGAATTATACCGACTACATTGTGTTATTTCAAAGTATATTCTATTTTTGTCAAATTATACTATATCGTGTATGTATCAAACGAACTCAACTACTTACCGTAGTATTCAATATTATATAGTGTGTTATGTTTAATCATACAATACCACCATATATATATATATATATGTATGTATGTATGTATGTATATACATATTAATATCAGATTATAATACATTACAATCTAGTATATTATGTTACTATATATATATTGGATTCGATGAGTTCAGCGTTTTTTCTAGCTCCGTGGTCGCCTCCACCTGCTAAACTAAGCACAGTTAGATATGTTTAGATATATTTAGCTATATTTAGATATGATGAAATATAATTAGATAATCAATGATAATCATGTATATATACAATTAGAAATAAATAATAATATAATTCGATAAAACTGGATACAATTGGATATAATTTGATATAATGGATACGATGAGATACAATCAAGTCAATAGCGAAGCCATACGTAGCTACCCGACAGTTCATGGCATGCGTTTTCTCGCAATTTGAGAAGCAGGAAAGAGTCAAGAGAGATACCGGACAAGTAAAGCTCCTGTTCTGACTGGTTGAGCTAGACACCTGTGAATGCCGAACCAGCTCCAAAACTGTTCTGTACATGCAGCCAGCACCGGCACCCCGCATCAGGTTTTACCGGGGGGCGGCCAGATCACAGCTGCACCATTGTTAAGGCTCGATTTTTCGATCTAGGACAATTACACGTGTTAAACCTTGGCAGATGCCGGGGAACAAATGCCTTGAATTTTCTTCCCCAACTGCTGGAAGAAGCGGCTGAAGCGTCGTGGGCTCTTCTCTTCCCATGGTTTGCGAGCTGTGGGATCTGTGGCCACCACTTTTCTCATGGTTCTCAGCATCATCCAGCAAAGGAAATTGTTCCTCAAGGTTGCCTTGAAGCCGCTAGCGGTGTGCAGGCCACCAACCATGGAGCTTTTGGACACCACCTAATTGGTTGCTTTTCACCCCTAAGAATGGGACAGCAGAGTCATTGGGGATCATCATCACCATCATCATCATCACCACCACCATCCCAAACAGCAGGACAAACACATTTGAAGAAAAGAAACATCAAATGCACCAAGCGATCGAGCCACGGCTTCGCAATAGGCCTTGCGACTGGTCTCATAGAGCTTGAGCCCATCCTGCATAGCGATCTTTTCGTTCATCAAGATTTCACCCAGGCAAAACGCGTCGTGCATCGCCATGTTCGCCCCCTGACCCATGAAGGGTGCCGTGGCGTGGGCTGCATCGCCTAACAGGACCACACGACCTTTAGGGCTGATCCAAGAATCTCTGGTGGGCTGTTTGTAGATGCCCCAGTCGAAGCATACCTGGTCCAGCTGTCCAGCTCTTGGAATGTGAACATATATAGTCCCGCGTCTTGTGTTCACGGCCCCCCCACATGGTATGGGGGGTTACCCCCGACGCCCCCACCACATCCACAGGGGGGAGGAATACATACACATATGCATATACACATTCATATACTTACATACTGTAAACATGTGCACATACACATGCTACTACATACGTATACTTACAAACACATGTGTATATATAAATAAATAAATATATATATATTATGTATATATATATATTATGTATATATATATATATTATGTATATATATATATATTATGTATATATATATATATTATGTATATATATATATACATTGTACACTACACATATATCTAAATATATACATATATATTATTATTTTCATATACATATAGGGACAATCACCATCTCGGGGGGGCAGGGGGGACCACCAGACACTGGGCCATAAATATATATATATATATGCATGGCATATGTCTATATACATGGTCACCATCCCCCCAGAACCCCCATATTGAGGATTAGGGCTCTGACCGTAGAGAAATACATTAAAAATCATTAAAACAGTAATGAGTCACCCCTCCAAAACACTGCAAATACCAGTGAAATGAAATATACATTATATATATATATATATGCATTGTATATTGTGTATCAAATAAATGGTGTATATATATAATTATATATATATGTATATTATATTATATCCATATCATCTATTGCATAATTTACTATATCATGTATTTCTCAGTATATATTTTATATTATCTAAGTAGCCAATGAAACAGGAAACTTGGTAAATGCTCTCCCTCACTTGAACGCAACAACCTTGACACATCCAAGCGAACCAATGTCATCACAGAAACTGCTACTGTAGAGATGTAGGAAACACAATGGACACGATGGCTTCAAAGTGAATCTATACATATATATATATACATATAATAATTATTTATTTTGCAATAGTAAGGGCTATACCCAACCTGAACGCATCAATTCTGAAGCATCCCAATAAATTGATGTTATCACAGAAGGCATTGCAGATGCAAACCACAAACCATAGTCAACTTAGTTGTACACCAAATTATAGACCCCTTGTTGTATATGCGGCATTCCAAATGGCGTATGTCTCCCCAGTTCCCCACTTCCAATCAGCCTCTGAACACTCCACCGCCTTCCCTAAAACCGGGTGGTCCGGTGCCACGTGCGCTGCAAACTCCTCAAGTCGCTCCTTGACCAACGTCGAGTCCCAACGGTCAGTGACTTGTTCCTCGCTACGCATGATGATGATCATGACATCATGGCGATTCTCACCCTTTCCTGCAGGGTTCATTGATCATGCATATGAATATAGACTTATTATATAATACATATATATATATAGTATATATATATACACAGTATAATTTAATAATATGTATAATAGAGAGAGAAGGTGAGCTCCAATGAAACAGTGGTAAGGTACCTGTCTATCCTTTTGTGCTTGCTATGTTACCCTTTCTGCGTTTTTGTGGCTCTTAACAACTTAAGACCAGCCTCTTTGGCCCTGGTCCTGCAGTCAAGTCCAGGAGACCATAGCCTGCACCGTCCACCTCCTTCCAATGAACATGAGCCACAGTGGGATCAGCACGGAAATGCTTCGAAGAGAGGCTATACAACACCCGAAAACCTGTGAATTCCGGCTGGTCCCCACCAAAGATCTTCTGCCTCGCGAAGCTGTGAATGCCATCTGATGCCACCAACAAATGTGCGGTGGCTCTTTCTCCGTTCTCAAATTCCAGCGTCACTTCATCTGTTCCTTCAGTTATCTCCACCAGTTTGTGGCCAAGCTTGATACAACTGGAGGGTAACGAGTCCACCAAGATCTTCTGAAGATCCTTTCTCATGGCCTTGGAGTTGTTTCAGGCCATTAAAAATATGTTTAAAAAAACGACATACCAGCGGTATGTCCCCAGAAAACTGGGTGGATTGGTGGATTCACCAACAGGAAAATGCATCATTTGATCAACAAATTGCAGGGAGTCCAAGGGGCCGTGCAGGCCGGGAGATGCATAGAATACAGCTCAATACCATTGGCGTGGAAATGGACGTCAAAGCCATCCACCTGAGAAGTCTTTCCTCGCTTGTTCATGGGATTTACCACTAGGTCACTAGATTTTGATCGTTTCCAATATGTCCCAATACTTAAAGGATGGTGTAATCCCCAAACTAATCATCAACCAACCATCATTTACCAGTTGTAAACACTTTATATCCCATAATTTGATGCATGAAACTCCTAGTAAACAATCATTATTACAGTAAATGATATCCCCATTCCTTTGGATTGTGTATTCACCATTTAAGACCCATATCTATACATTTCTTTGGGAACCCCCAAAATCATCCATGTTTTTTTTAGTTGGGATTTTCCATGACCAACCGTCCAGCTATTGTGAGGTACCCCCACCTGGTTGGCCACTGCTGCCAACTGATCTCCCAGCCCCAAGCGGCGCAAAATCCGCGCGCCCGCCGCCAACCCCAAGGCTCCACCTCGAACCTTCCAATGGTCCCAGGCTTCGTAAATGCACACCTTGAGAGGTGGTTTAGGAGTCAATAAATGATCTACCTCGTATATATTTATGTAGATAGATGGATAGATAGATAGATAGGTAGATAGATAGATAGATAGGTAGGTAGATAGATAGATAGATATATTAAATTTCACGAGCTCCTGGGATTTTGTGATTTTTAGGGAATATTGGATATCAAGGTCAAGATGCAATATGTGGTGCAGTGTACGTGCACAAGGGTGGCACCAAAAAACTTAAGCGTCATGGTTTGCACGGGTTTGCACTGGATCAGCCTTCCATAAATGGAAGTGGTCCAATTAATCGTTCAGAAAAAATGAAACGGTCGGAAACGGTCGGAAACAGTCGGAAACGGTCGGAAACAGTCGGAAACATGATCAGGCCAAAACTTGTTCAACCCGAATTTTTTAAAAAATAGCATTTCCGCGCAACGCCGTTTTTTTTTTGAAGGTCCAAAGGTGTCCAAGGGGAAAAGGTTGGAAACAGTCGGAGATCGCACCAATCACGCATTTTTGGGCGTTTCTGCCACACCTCCACCGGGCGTGGCTGTTGCAGTAAGGTTTTGGCTAAGGTGAGACCACCGAGGCCTGCACCGATGATGGCCACCTTGAGCTTCTCAGCCATGGCGTCACCGGGGTTCGAAAAACGTTTGAGCTTCGCACCGGTGAAGTTGGTACAGTTTTTTGGTCAAACGTTGATTCAAAGCCTTGCAATTCCAATGTAACAGTTTCGGGTGATGTTTAAGAAAGGATCCTTCGACGTCTTGGACATTGGCACAGTTTGACCCACGGCAAGGGTTTTGAGTATTTGCTCCATCAAGAATGGAATATTTTTTTCATCACCAACCTTCAGAAAGCTGCAACAGATTCATCCATGAAATATGGTCCACGTAGTTGTCGTAGTCATTGAAATCCCAACAAAAAGAAACTCTTTCCATTTGTTTCTACCATATGATTCAATGGCAGTAATCAAATTGTATATCTTTTACATGGGATTCCTGGACAAATCATGACAAATCCTCATAGAAGCTCCCTGCATTCCTGCACGTCCTGCAGCTCTTGAGTCTGCCGCTCTGCTAGCTGCAAGCGCTCCGCCAATGCTTGGCACTCCTGGCGACGCTTGAAACTGCATGCGTACCTTCTGGTGGTTTACCAGTAGTACCGCACAAGGCGGTGGAAGCATCAAAGATAGGAAAATATAGGAGAGGTGAGTTGTTGTGAATGGATGGTGGATCGAAAAGGTGGTTAAGGCTCTGAGTCTCTCTCTCTCTCTCTCTCCCTCTCTCCTATTTCTCTCTCTCTCTCTCTCTAACTCTCTCTGTCACCTTCTCTCTGTGCCTCTCTATTTATCCCTCTTCATTTGTATATCTATCATTATCTATCTATGTGTAGTGTAGTTTGTAGTTGTACTTGTTGATCTGGTTGTTCGTGTTGTTCTTGTTGTTCTTGTTGTTCTTGTTGTTCTTGTTGTTCTTGTTGTTCTTGTTGTTCTTGTTGTTCTTGTTGTTCTTGTTGTTGTGGTGGTGGTGGTGGTGGTGGTGTAGTGAAGTGTAGTGAAGTGTAGTGAAGTGTAGTGAAGTGTAGTGAAGTGTAGTCTAGTCTAGTCTAGTCTAGTGTAGTGTGGTGTGGTGTGGTGTGGTGTAGTTGTAGTCTGGTGTAGTTTAGTGTGTAGGTGTAGGTGTAGGTGTAGTTGTAGTTGTAGTGTAGTAGTTGTGGTTGTGGTTGTAGTTGTAGTTGTGGTTGTAGTTACTTGTGGTTGTGCTTGTATTTGTGGTTGTAGTTGTCGTTGTGGTTGTAGTTGTAGCTGTAGTTGTAGTTGTACATGATGCCACGCTATGAGATCTTCTTCTGGCTCTGGGCTGGGTGGGGTGGGGTGGGTGTGATGACATTCTTTGGCTCTTGCACACGGACTGTATGCTACGCTATGAGATCTTGGTCTTGGAATTGCAGACTTTGCCCTTCAATTCTTCATCAAACATGAAGAATTGCCAGACTTGCCATATGCCACTGCTTTTCAATTGGTCTGCTCATTCCAACATGACCATGAAGTGTCTGGACCTTAAGCCAAAGGGAGTTACAAGCGAGCACATCTAGGAGTTACAAGTGAGACATCGCCCCGTTAAATTCCCATGTTTTGCCACCCTGCCAGACACCCCAAGTTGACAAGGACAGTGACAGTCCAGGCCTCTTCAGCGCAATGCATCGATTGACGCCTTTGTCTTGCAGCTCTTTCCCAGCAGATCCTGGATAGTCCCCCAATGTCCCACATCTAGCAGTTTTGTTGGAAAATGAGAATGAACCACTGGATTTTATAGGGGAAAAGGAAAAAACATGGGACAAACCCATACAGAATCTACAGAAGAGATCTTTATATGTTCCTTCAGTCCAGTGCCAAAGAATCCGGAGTTTTGAAACTTCTGCAGACACCCCAGCCCTGAAACCAGCAATGGCGTGCCAAACACTCCAGCCAAGACCAGAGAGACTATCAAGCTCAGTTGAGCAGCGTCCAAAAGGTATGATTAAATGCCCATGTCGATATCTATGTCGCATGGGTTTGCTTACGCGCAGGATACGCACTACTTGCGCGACCACAATTTTGACTTACGCGAGGGTTGGGGTATGAGACAGTCTTATGCGACACTTATGTGACTTGAATTGCCCAAAATGTGGTTTCCCTGCAAGAAATTGCTTACGGGGCTGCTTAGGATATGTTGACAGGAATGCTTATGCATGGGCTTACGCCATGCATCTATCACCAAAATGCTGTTTTCCGTCAGCTTGCGAAACCCATGTTTTTGCTTACACCAGGCAGCCATATGACACAACTCTTGCTAGACAAATCAGGGGAGGTTTTGGACCCTGCTCATTTGGGAAGTCAGTTCACCAAACGGCACCCGCAACTGTTCACCCATATTATGTATAATTATGATATATATATATATATTGCCATATTGTGACCCATTCCAGTTGACAGCACTAAAGGACCAGCCTCACCCCCACCCGTGCTGAGGTGCAGGAAGGCCATGAAGCTCCGGTGGAGGTCATGGTTTTTGCGCCGTCCCTGGAAGCCTTCAAGCAGCAAGCGCCTCCGCCTCCTGCTGCTGCAGATGTTGCGAAACGTTCTCCAAGCATCGCGTTTGGTCCGCTTGCGGATCTCTACAAATCGATGCCAGTGCTGTAGCCTGCGATTTGTAGGACCACTCAAAATCTTCGGACCAGCTCAGCTACAGTAAACAAAGTATCAAGATGTACCAATGGTATCCAATTCCACTGTATACCAATCATCCATAACTATCCATAACTATCCAGAACTATCCAGAACTGTCCATATTATCCATAACTATCCATCTGTTCATGTTCCGACGACAAAATCGGGGCTATGTTGATACAATCTTGTCCAACTTCATCAGGCACAGCTAAGCTCCTTTTCTGACTTTGCCAAACCACTTTTCATTGCCACTTCTGCTAGTTACTTAAAGGATCTTAAAGCGTTTTTGAGTCTCAGCCACCTGAGTCCGTGGAAATTCCATCGAAAAACTTCGGGTCAACTTGGGCCTCTTCTGTAAGAGGAATCTTTTCCACTTCTCTCGGCGAGCTTTCAGTTGTCGGGACCTCACTGAGAAATGCCACGTGACTCACTTGACGAAAGTTGAAAGCATGCACTTTCAAGATACCACTGAAAAAGATCTCACTGCGACGAAAGAAGTCTGTCCAAAAAAAAACTTAATTAACTAAGAAATGCATGGTGAGTGTTTGCTTGAGAATCATGTCCAGTGCGGCCAAAGTGGCTGCTTTGCCAGAAATCGCCACCATCCCCAAACAACCATGACTCTTCGTGGGCGGGTCTGGACCGGCTTGTCCTACAACAAGCCAAGCATGGCCAAGATGCAGTCGTCTAATGTTCACCCACTGCCAATAAACATCAATCAACAACTCCCTCTGGTACCCTCTGGTAAACGTTTACAGTTTGCGAACTGGAAAATCACCATCCTTAATATAGGTAAATCAACGTAAAATAATGTAAAATACGTAAATCAACTATTTCTATGGGCATCTATGGGCCATGTTCAATAGCTATGTTAAATACCAGAGACTAGACCTCTCCGCCCTTGCCTGGCGCCCTTGCCGTTGCAAGGCATCGAAGGAGCGTCGGAGACGTCGTCGAGCGTTGTGCAGGGCGACGGACGCCAGCAGCAGATTCAGTTGGAAGGCCCGAAAGGCCTGACTTTTGGAATGGGCCTCTGAGGGGACAGGGTGCGGTAACTGAAAATACGTCATAATCTGAAACATTAGGGATTGTAACTGAAACATACTGAAATCCCGTGTCATGTTAAATGTCCCCAAATCACACTATCGATTTGTTTTACTCTTGTCGTTTTCTCAGGTGGTGGGCTCTCTGTACTATGTTATTTTTCCAGTGGGTGTGAAAGCATCCTTGGTCGAAAGTCAACAAATGTCATTTTTTCCTTTCATGTCCTTTCATTGCCTTTCATGTTGCATTTGTTTCCCTTGATGTGTCTTCATTTCCTTTCATTTTCCGTTCATTTTGCATTCATGTCCCTTATAATATAATGTTTCTTTCATGTTGCATTTATTTCCTTTTATTTTGCATTAGTTTCCTTTCATGTTCCTTTCATTTTGCTTTCATGTTGCATTTGTTTCCTTTCCTGTTCCTTTCATTCTGCTTTCATGTTGCATTTGTTTCCTTTCACGTTCCTTTCATGTTCCTTTCATGTTGCATTTGTTTCCTTTCAGTTCCTTTCATTTTGCATTCATTTCCTTTCATTTTGCATTCATTTCCTTTCATGTTCCTTTCATTTTGCATTCATGTCCTTTCATTTTCCGTCGCTATGTATCAAACATACAGGTCTTCGAAAAGTGATATGCTCAAACCGGTCAGGTGGGTATCCGCCCAAAGGCTCGTTTTTTCCATATGTGTTGTATATCGTTTTTGTTATCGTTTGTGCGTTTTGGAGAACTGTGCAGGTTGCCATCTTCAAGGTCCATCAACATGTACATGTATAAGCCCGTTATTATTTGTTTTTTACTCTTATCGCTTTCTGGGCCGGTAATGCATTGGTAGCGCAGGGGCAATGCAAGCTAAAATGAAAGGCCTGGGATTATTATACTGTCCCATATACCCCTGAAGTAGCCATGCTTTGAATGGGAAAATGGTTATGAATCACTGAATTCAGGGTGAGAAACCCCATAACATCTTTGGATGGAACAGTTCACCAAAAAGGTTCCCAGATCTACTGTCCCCCCCCAAAAAATGGATTTGGTAGGTTTTGATGCATCATTTCAAGAGCACTGTCCCTTGTATCACAATAGGATACAACAAGTATTAAAATAAAGATTTGGATAATGGCTGGAATGAGGATACAGGTTTCCGGACATTCAACAGAAATCAAAATCGCACAACTGCAGAGCCCTATGACACTTCTGCCATTGCAGGGGAAACCTTTTGGATAGAAGGTGTCTACACCACCGCGAAAAGATGATAAAATGAATACTGGGGACATATCAAGTCTATGACCCCCATGATTGATGATTGTATCATATTGTATCCATGTTTCTTGATGGTTTTATAACACAATATTATATTCTACCAGCATTTTTGATGGCGGTGGTATCCCCATGTGCGGTGTTCATATCCCCATGTTGAATGGTCATATCCCTATGTTTGACGGTCATATGTGATCTCCCGCAACCTTTCGGTGTTTCTGCACCGTCCAAGAAACCCTTCTCAGGCAGCGTCGGAAGAGTGGCCGGAGCGGCCCTGGGGTGCTGCTCTAGCCATGAAGGTTTGGTTCCCTGGGAAAATCATAAATGGGGGTACCCCCAAATGGATGGTTTACAATGGAAACTCCTATTGAAATGGATGATTTGGGGGTACCCCTATTTCATGAAACCCCCATATAGCTATTTGATGTTATTTATAGATGATCGATGATTCTACCCATGGAAAATCGCTAAAATTTAGATCATCATAAATAGATCATGATTTACCGATGAAAATTTCATGGATTTTCCATGGATTTTCCAGCACATTCGATGGCACGTTTGATGACACCGGAGGGTGTCAACCTGTCAGGGCCTTTCGATCTGAAGGGACGAGAAGCGACTAGCTGCGACTAGCCGACTAGCAAACTACTGGTGTATTGTAAGAAATCCAACCAGCGACAAAAAAAAACAAATTATATATATAATGTCAAGTGAGGATTAATAATACCCCCAGGATTAATCAACCACCACTGCCAAAAAAAAAAAATGTAATTAAAAAACAGGTGGTCCGCCCAGATTAATAAACCGGTGGGCCTACCCCCGATTAATCAACCACCACTTCGGAAATCAATTTTTTTATCCAACATTTTTTATTTCCAATTCTATTTATTTCCAATTGTTTTTTTACCTTTTTTTTAATCATTATTGTTATACTTCAGGTTTAAGTTGATCATTGAAAATTTCAAAAAACAACTATTCCCCAAATGATCGATTTCTAATTAAAATATTTATAAAAAACATCAGTTTGGATAGCTCCCAAAGGGTACCCCCCATGAGCCCATGTCCCCCAGTAATAATAACCATGGTTTGCCCCTGATTAATCAACCACCTTTCTGATCCATGAAATTTTAACAAATCCAATGGAATTCTATTAAGATCTAATTGACGTAAGCCATATCCAAAGTTTTATGGTTCAGAATTTTATGGTTCAGGGCCGTTTATTTACGGGTAGTCAAGAAAACTAGCTAGAAGGTACCTACCTACCTACCTACCTGGTGGGGGGGGGTTATTAATCCGGTGTTGGCATTATATATATATATTTCATCTATTTCATCAGACTTTCGGATTCTCTGCAGTGGGTCCTGAAGCAAGAAACCACAAGGGTCGATCGTTTAGATCCACACCATGACGCTGCACAAGTGCATGGACTACAGTATCATGGACTTCTCACGCAAAGCCGCAAAAACTGGGACGCAAAAAGTGCCTCGAAAAGCGCCGTGGAAAAGCCAAAGTGTGCGCCAGGACCGAAGATTTTTCTTTCGTTGTTGAAACTTGCAGTGATCTTTCAGCCTGAATGCTGAAAACGGAGGTGCCACAGGTGGATTGGACTGATGACTGATGTTTTTAAAAGCCACAACCTTTGAACAAACATGTTCATAATTGGGGGTCATGATCCCATTTCTATCCATTTCTATGGCGCAAAGCCAACAAACTGACATCTTTGACACCCTCCCATAGTTATAGCCCGTATATCCCAACTGCTGGGATTTCACCATCGTCCCATTTAAACCTCAACTGCAGCCCCAGGTAGATTTATAAACCCATCATCCAGCTACAGAATACTCTAGATAAATTTACCATAAACATCCATAAACCGTAGAACTGAGTTGTCATCCAACTTAGCAATCCATCCCTCCCAACCCACCTCTTTGCACGTTTGGCCGTTTCCTGACACTGCAGCTGCCAGCGGCGAAGAACGGCCCTCTGAAACGACAGCTGCATCACCAGAAAGTGCGTCTCAGCCCAGGTGAGGCGTTCGCAAAGATGAAGAGCAGCCAGGGAGACCTGATTGATTGTGATGATAGAGACACTATGATACACTAAATATATCTAAAAAATCTGAACATATTTTTTCTATAAATAGTGAGTATCATTGTGAATTATGTCAGGGAAATCATATATATATATGATGATATTACACTATATATATACATGCATGATTCATTATAGTGAACCATTATTATAGTGTTTATCATTACAGTGAATTATATATGAATTACTAATTAATTATTGAACTGTATAGTGTAAGTCTAGTGATTCTACAAGTGAATTATGTATACTTTATTGCAGCCAACATTATATATATATGTGTGTTATCGTTACTAAAAATCATTATATATATATAAATAATCACTATATATCATTATATATATGCATATATCATTATATATATATACACATGTATATATCAGTGATATAATATCACTATATATCATCATGTTTACTTGTTTGTTCACAATCTCAGGTTGCGGCATAGCATATAGGAATCTCAGCCGCTGCCGTATTGAATCTAATGTGTATATGTATGTACAAAGATAGATAGGATAGATAGGATAGATAGGAAAGATAGGAGAGATAGGAGAGATAGGAGAGATAGGAGAGATAGGAGAGATAGGAGAGATAGGATAGAGAGGATAGAGAGGATAGAGAGGATAGAGAGGATAGAGAGGATAGAGAGGATAGAGAGGATAGAGAGGATAGATAGGATAGATAGGATAGATAGGATAGATAGGATAGATAGGATAGAGAGGATAGATAGGATAGATAGGATAGATAGGATAGATAGGGTAGATAGGATAGATAGGATAGATAGGATAGATAGGATAGATAGGATAGATAGGATAGATAGGATAGATAGGATAGATAGGATAGATAGGAGAGATAGGAGAGATAGGAGAGATAGGAGAGATAGGAGAGATAGGGTAGATAGGATAGATAGGATAGATAGGACAGGTAGACAGATAGATAGATAGATAGATTGATAGATAGATAGATAAACAGATAGATAGATGGATGGATGGATGGATAGATAGATAGATGGATAGATAGATAGATAGATAGATGGGTGGATAGATGGATAGATAGGATAGGATAGGATAGGATAGGATTGGATTGGATTGGATAGGATAGGATAGGATAGGATAGATAGATAGATAAGTGATAGATAGATTAGAGACTCGATTAGAGACTAGATTAGAGACTAGATCAGAGACTAGATCAGAGACTAGATTAGATCTAGATTTATATTAGATGAACATTTTAGATCATATGTTTATTGCGATTAAGATAAGATTAGATGGATACTGTATATAATGTCTTGTACTTCTATAGATGTATCGATACAGTACTGTATACACATGCATTGAATATAGAACGGATAGTGAATATGCAGCAGTAGGACACGATAGGATAAAAAATAGTATATAAATGGCATCGAAAGTCATCACCAAGCTGTAATGCTTGATGATTCTTTGAGTTCCCCGATCATCTGTGGTGACATGCTGGTCATTAAAAACTTCATCCAATGGATTGTTCAACATGGCTTACCCAAGCAAAAATTGGGATTCATTGATCAAAAAAAGGACCCCACATGACATCAAATGGCCTTCCATATGCCAGTGGTTCATTGGTTGTTCACTCGAACGAGATTTGGTTTCCCGATGTGTTTGAACGACCAATGCCTTCTATCATTCCAGAGCATGCTTGAACATGGCATGGCGCTTCATTACAACGCAAGATGGTTGGCAGCTAAGCCGGGTCCAAAAACACTGCAAGCTACATGTTGGAAAGGCGGAGCTTAACACATCCTGTTCCTATAGGTGGGTTCAATTAACACTGTTGAATCATAGCCAGCCTTTGATTCATTGTATTTTGCTTTTGCTGGTTAGCAATAGTGTATATACATATGTGTATATATACAATATATATATATACCCGCAAAACCGCTGTCTCGCCGTCGCCAAAATTGTCATTTGTCACGTTCGAATTTTGCTCCTCGTGCAGGCGAAACGCGTTTTTTTTTTTTAAAGTGCAAAAAAATGCATTTTGATCTGCGGCCACCAATGAATTTGAGCACGTCCATTTTGCGTGGCAGGCGCGCTGTTTTCTGATCTTACAAAAAAGTCGTATGGCATTTTCGCTGGCAGGCGCGCGACTTTTTGCGTTTTTGGCACCTTCTGGATGGTTTTTTTTTTTTGAGCTGTTTGTGGCGCTGCTTCCTTTCTTTGGGGGGGGTGGGGTGGGGGGTGGGGGTGGGGGCATGATAACGTCCTTTCGTTCCCGTCCTCTCTTCGGTTTATGTTAACACGTCAGTGATGTTACGCGCTTGGCTTTCTTGGGTTTATGTTAACACGTCAGTGATGTTACGCTCTTGACTTTCTTCGTTGTTATGTTAACACGTCAGTGATGTGACGCTCTTGACTTTCTTCGTTGTTATGTTAACACGTGAGTGATGTTACGCTCTCGACTTTCTTCGGTTTTATGTTCAAGACGTCAGTGATGTTACGTCGCTTCCTTTCTTTGGGGGGGTGGGGGTGGGGGCATGATAACGTCCTTTCGTTCCCGTCCTCTCTTCGGTTTATGTTAACACGTCAGTGATGTTACGCTCTTGACTTTCTTCGTTGTTATGTTAACACGTCAGTGATGTGACGCTCTTGACTTTCTTCGTTGTTATGTTAACACGTGAGTGATGTTACGCTCTTGACTTTCTTCGGTTTTATGTTACGACATCAGTGATGTGACGCTCTTGACTTTCTTCGTTGTTATGTTAACACGTCAGTGATGTGACGCTCTTGACTTTCTTCGTTGTTATGTTCACACGTGAGTGATGTTACGCTCTCGACTTTCTTCGGTTTTATGTTCAAGATGTCAGTGATGTTACGTCGCTTCCTTTCTTTGGGGAGAAACACTTCGAAACAAATCCTGAAAAATATTCAGGTGCTTGCCGCCGCAAGCTTGCATCGGCAGCCAGGACTGAAAGCAATCCTGAACGCAATGACTGTCTATAGAAAAGATTGCTTGGCAGGGATAGTAAAACTATCTCCATCAGACGCCTTCAAGGTAGCAAAGCTACACTGGATGTCGTGAAACACAAGAAAAAAACGTTGACGTGTGGTCAGATGGCGTTTCGCCACATTTTTCCATTGGAAATTTCCAGAAATCATGACAAAACCCGCAGTTTTAAGCAGTTTCAGCCGACGGCGAGACAGCGGTTTTGCGCGTATATATAATATGTATATATATATTGTATATATATATTGTATATATATATATATTGTATATATATATATATTGTATATATATATATTGTATATATATATATTGTATATATATATATATTGTATATATATATTGTATATATATATTGTATATATATTTATTGTGTATATATATATAAATTAAATATATATATATTGTATATATATATTGTATATATATATATATTATATATATATTGTATATATATATTGTATATATATATATTGTATATATATATATTGTGTATATATATATTGTATATATATAGTATATATATTTATATCGTATATATATATATACAATTAATTATATATATATATACGTATGTATATATGTATCCCCAGATTGAATCAGAGTGAAGTACTCAACCAGAAACCTTCTCTAAACCCGCCATCTCTCAGATGCTCCCCGTGGCCTCGTGCCACTTCTGCAGCACTTTCGACAGCAATATCCGATGGTGAGGCCATAAGTCCTCGAATGGGGATCCATCATCTCCAGTACCCTCTGGTAAACTAACAGTTTGCGAACTGGAAAATCACCATTTTTAATGGGTAAATTCCACTATTTCTATGGCCATTTTCAATAGCTAACTGCTAGTTTACCAGAGGCTAACATGTTGCTCCCAACCCCTGTCATTCTTTTACAATGTTAAGTGGAAAAAGCTGGCAGGTTCTATTCATCTAAACTACTGTAGTGGTTGTTTTAGCCGCCAGTTAGCGCCATTGATCGATTATGATAATATCCGCCATGATTATAGTTGGATGGTTAATCGTGATTCCCATGATGGATTGTGATCATATCCCCAATATATTGAGTAGTGTAATCCCATATGATAACCCCCTATAATCATCAACCAACTTAGGTTTGTGAGATTGAAAATGATAAACATACAAGACTACCAACCAGAAATGGCGGAGAGTTTCTCAAAGCTGACATAGTAGATGCATCTGGGTGTACCTGAAGTTTGTAATTAGTGGTGTAAAATGAGTCGATAAAAAGTTTGAGTCAAAACCAGAACAGAAAACACACAAAATTCGAAGAAACTAAGTAAAATGTTGGATCAGCAACCAACACAATCACGATAAATTAAACATAATTTTCCAACGTAGGACTGTCCTTCTACCTGGGTAAAACAGTCATGATTCCATGGTGGCATCCCCTTCCAGTAAAATCACTCCATGAAGTCCACAAAGCCCATAAAGTGGCAATGAAGTTTTATAAAATGGCAATAAATATCATAAAATGATCATAAAATTGCCAAACAATATTATAAAATTGCCATAATAGCAAATTATATGTTATATATCAAATATCATTCAAATGGTCATTAATGGTCACAAACTATTATTCAAATATATAAGATAAAACTATTAGAATGGTCATAAAGTCTATGGACCACCCAGCTCTCCCCAGCCTGTCGTTTGCTCTGCTTGACACCAGCTCTCCACAGCACAAGGCCGACTCGTCGTAGATGCCTTCGACGCCATTGCGTTACGCGAAGCGCGAAACGGCTCCAGAGGCGCTCCTGCAAGCTCAGAAACTCAGAGTTTTCACAGACACGGTTATAGTTATAGGATTAGGATTATAAAAGGTTATAAATGGATTATATATTGCAATTACTCTATTTTTCATAAATGAATTATAAAAGGTTATAGTTGTACCAGTATATAATGGATTACAATAGGTATACCAAAATTAAGCAAGTTACCCTTTTGTACACTACCCAATATTGACAATCGTATACCCCGTTATTTTAATGAACCATAAGAAAATGATGATCGTCCAATGGATTTGGGGGTACACTATTTTCAGACGTGTCATGTTGGGGATTGTTGGGGCTACAGCCCACTTTTAAGGATAACCCCATTGAAAAAAATCATCGTCACTGGTTGGTGGTTTTTCGCCACCCCTCTGAAAAATGATGGACTTCGTCAGTTGGGATGATTGTTCCCAATATATATGGAAAAATGAAAAATGTTCCAAAGCACCAACCAGATCATAGTGACCTAGGTCATTTACATATGATTTTGTGGTTGACAAGAACTTGGTCATTGTCAAGCCCGAAAGCACAGCTGGTCAAATTTACTTATACTACGACTTTAGCGAGCAAAATCTGATTATGGAGATCCAGCATAGCATTCTCAAATGCTTCCGTATTGCAAGAATTCTTCCGCTCAAGGACTACCTGACTACCAGTAACACGGTAGATATCATTAGAAAAACCATATAGATGTGCTATTATCATTGTCATTATCATTTTTACTATTAATAGTACAAAAAAATAAAATATAGATATGTATATATATATGTACATATGTGGCTATGAGTCAAAACCCTGGTACCCTAGTGTTGCGACACCTAGGTACCCTAAAATAGCTGGTTTGTGGTTATTTATTTCCCAAAATATGGTAATATTGCTTTTGACTGCTTTTGACCCATCCATATAGATACAACATATGTAATATATATATAGGTATATTTATTTATATATGTAATATATATACATATGTATATATATATATATTCTCAAACCTGCCTGTTCAAGATGCCACACCAACCGATGATACCTATATATCTCCCGATAGCCGAGGGGAGGCTCAGGATAGCCGCGGTGGGAGGGATCCTCGTTGTGGAGCCATAGAAAAGTGAGCGGCCTCACTTGTTGGACTACTTGGTCAGGGACCTCATTACTTTGGGATATCTTTGGATCAGGGCATTCAAACCTTTTTGGTATTTTGGACAGGGTTCCTTACAATTGGTTGTGATCAGGGATCAACATTGGAAGATACTGCTGCCAATCACTTTGTGATTGGTAGCGGAGCTACCTGGTCGATTTGACCGTGCTCCCCAGGGACCATTAGCAAAGCACCGGGTGCCTTGACGTGATCCTTGTGGCCGAGCAATGAGCGAAGCTTCAGGTGGTGGTTCAAACTATGTGCCTAAGGAGTTGGCGAGCTTAGTGCCTGGATTTGATCCATCAGTGGACAATGTGGAGATTTGGACAAGTAAGGTGGAGTTATTGTTGAATACTTGGCCCCCTGATAAACTCAATGAACTGGCAACGAGGTTGATCCTAGGATGCAAAGGAACAGCATACCAGAAACTGCAACTTTTGCGGGGAGAAGTGCTGGTCAATTCAGAAAAAGGGATTCAACGTTTGGTCGAAATCGTTGGTGGTACATGGGGTCAGATTCCACTGGAAAAGAAATTCGAGCTTGCTGAACGTGCTTTGTATCGAAGCTCCCAAAAGTCTGATGAAACCTCTGACAGTTACCTGTCCCGCTGTGATGTGACGTGGACAGAACTCTTGTCGAAGAAGGTGGATCTGAAGGAACTTCAAGCATACATAGTGTTGCGAGGCAGCCGACTTGCAGCTGATGACAAGAAACGTGTCATCATCGAGTCCAAAGCCGAAGAGGGCAGTCAGCTCACCATGGAGAGGGTGACATCGGCCATTCGTCTGTTGGGGTCTGGGTTCTTTCAGGAATACACTGGTCTCCGACGTGACAAAGTAGGCAAGACATATGACCACACAGTCATGCATGTTGAGGATGAAGGTGATGTAGAAGGTGAGGTATATGCCATGCAAGATGACCTGCCTGATGATGAAGCACTGGAAATTCTTGCAGCCGAGAACGATGAGGATGCCATTCTTGTCATGCAGTTTGAAGATTCCATTGCCGATACCATCCAGGCTGACAGTGATTTGTGTGCATACTACTCAGCATACCAAGAGGCCAGACGCCGATTGTCTGAACGAGTCAAGGTGAGAGGGTTTTGGCCTGTGTCGAGACGTTTTGACAAAGGCAATGGGAAAAAGGGCAAAGGAAAAGGGAAAGGCCGAAGTCCGTTCTCTGGCAGTGGATCGCTAGCCAGAAGAATTGCAAATTCTTTCTGCAGGATTTGTATGCAGAAAGGTCACTGGAAGAACGAGTGCCCGCAGAGACCTCAAGGTTCTGGTGCCACATCGACCAATGCCTCATCCAGTTCCGTGCCCACGTCGTTTGTCATTGTCGAAGAAACCCCTGTTGAGATTGCACACATTGCCCTGGCCGAAACTCAGGACACCGATGTTCACAGTTGTTTCATGGTTCAAAGTGGGAATAATGGGAATGGTAAGTATCATGGGAATAGATATAGTCTCAAGTGTAAGCAGTTTGCCAGCCGTTTCGCCGTCCAGTGGCGACGCACCCTGAGGACTTTGAAGTCTTCTGATCACCATTCCGTAGGTTCCAACACTGAGCCAAAGCATCCGGAGCTGCCGAAGAGCGCATCCGATTTCTGTGATTCACCGGAGTCTTTCCTGGAAGCCAATTTTGTGACTACAGGTACTGTTGGGATCATTGATTTGGGAGCCTCACAAACGGTAATTGGGGATAAGCAAGTTCCTGAATTGTTGCAACAACTTCCTCAAGAGATCAAGTCCCAGGTCAAGAGAACTTCATGCAACCTGACATTTCGATTTGGCAACCAGCAGACTCTGACATGTAAGCACGCATTGTTGCTACCATTGGGAAAAGCACAGTTTCGCATCGCAATTGTCCCTGGTCGAACTCCATTTCTGTTATCCAGTTCTTTTCTCCAAGGAATCAAAGCCATCATCGACACTGAACATGGAAGTCTTTGGAGTAAACTGTTGGATAGAGAACTAATAGTGGAGCGTAACCCAAAAAACTTGCTGATGATGGATCTCAACCAGTTGTGGTGCTCACAGTCCCATGGCCAGCAAGCACAGACGCCGTCCATAAGCGGATTGATTTTTCAGTCCGAGGATGTTGAAAAGCAAGCGCATGTCAGCTTTCAGGGAGACGAAACACCGCCAATGGAAGGGTTTCATGATAAGGTAAGCATGCCACAACAGGATCACTGTCCAAAGTGCCCAATGCCAGCATGTTGTTTCCTGAAGCCACCTTGTCTATGCCGAGTGTGAATGTACCGCCCTCAGCAAGTTTTGACGGTGTTCAAGATTCAGCCTCTGTGACTGCCGTGACCGTTTCTCAACATGTCCAGCGTTGCCCAAAAGCTGCAGACATTCCGAGAAAGCCAGAAGACCTCCGATGGTCAGATCGAGATCACCAAGATCAAAGCGATGACGCTAGAGCAGTTGTCCCAAGAGAAGATCAGTTTCGGGAAGGCCAAACTGGGCCAAAGCTTTCCCAAGGTGTTCCAAGACCATGCTTGGACGGATTGGTTTGTGCAAACGTACGAGAAGAGCACGAAGCCGGCTCACCAGATGTACATTCAGTACGTCGAGACATGCCTGAACCAAGAGATCGAGAAGGAATTCAAGCCCATGCCCAGGAAGATGATCCCGAAGGAGACCTCGAAAACTGCCGAAGCAGAAGCCGAATCTTGGGATCAGATCTCAGAAACCGACATGACACAGGAGTTCGAGATGGCCGGAGTGGGCAAACTGATTCAGGTGGAGGATCAGGTGACAAGCCTGACCTTGCAAAACCAGAACCTCGCCAGCCGTATGACTCAGATCGAGATGTCCATGCAGGAGCTTTTGCATCATGTTCGAAATCTGAGTGTCAAGAGCGAACCGTAGGATCTGCGAAGTCATGTGCCAAGAAGGATTCCATCACTCATGACATGGACTTTGAGTACATACATGATGGTCAAACTCATCATTACTTGTCCCATGTTAGAAAGTTGGGATCCAGCCATTGCCACCATCAGCCGCGATTGGACCTCTTGGAAGTCATGTGCTCAGCTGATAGCGAGCTGACCAGCCAGGTCAGAAAGCTTGGTGGCAAAGCCGAACGCTTTGGCAGGGTTCAAGGAGATTTGCAAACTCCAGAGGGTCGCAAACGGTTGTTCACTCAATTGGTAGTTCGTAAACCGAAACATGTGTGGTACAGCCCTGAATGTAAACCATGGTGTCAATGGAGCAATTTCAATATGTCTCGATCAATTGAAAGCCATGAAGAGATCATGCAACAAAGAATTGACAACCTTTGGCAAGCAGCATTGGGGATTGTGCTTTTCAGATTTCAATTGGATAACCATGGCCATTTTGATCTGGAACAACCTCGTGGTTCCGCCTACTGGCGAATTCCAGGTATGAGTGAGATCCTAGACAACACTTACTGGAACGAGTTTGATCTTTGCCGAGTGGGAAACCTGCGTGATCCATCTACGCATGAACCCATCCGAAAGCGGCTGACCGTTTGTTCCACTCGCTTGGTCTTCATGTGAGTTTTCATGGAAAGCTGTGCTCTGGCGATCATCACCATCGAAACATCTCTGGAAACACTTTGGTTGATGGACATACGGTTAGACTCTCCCAATGGACCGAGAACTATCCCCGGAAATTTGCCAAACAAGTTGCCAAGGTTTTGATTTATGATCAGAAACCCCAAGAGCATGCTTTGACTGAAAATGCTGAAGAACACCCCACCAAGAAGCGCAGACTTGGAAGCAAATTGAGCCCAAGTGCCATTGAAGCACGCTTTGGCCGTGAGAGCTCTGGTGTCAATTGGCAGATAGTAATGAGCCGGGCGAATCAAGTAGCACCACGGGTAGGCACCAAGGTGATTGACTCAGGTGATGTGTTGAAGCTTGTGCAGGACATGTGCCCTTACCACAAAATTCACCATGCCGTCCTCTGCAGAGGCACTGACCGATATGTTGGACCAAACATGGATATCCCACATGGTGTTGCCCCTTTAAGAAGGCAAATTTGCATTCGCCGAAAGACAGAAGACATCCATGCAGATGAGTGGGAAACTTGGGAAAATCTGTCCAATAGAGGTTTGAGAAAGAAAAGTGTAGCAGCTAGACTGAGCATGACCGTTTTCGCCTCAGCTCAACCACTGGAGCAGTCTGCCGCAGCCCAGCCATCAGTTCCCGCTTCTGCCGACACCAATAATCCTTCCAACCAGCGAAGAGTGCTTGATGCAGCTCAGATTCCTGACGCAAAGCGTCATTGCCATGACCGAGAAAGCCCTGAGACCATTCCGATGCAGCCGGATAGAACTCCAAACAGCCACGAAAATATTCATGAAAGGCCACTTTCCGACACCTCCGCACCTCATCAAGATCACATCAACCCTGAACCAGAAGATGCCACTGAATCAATTACCCCTCACCACATTGATTTGGCAAGTCAAAAGCATGGTCCTTTGTTTCAGCAGTTGGGTGCCGAAGAACAAAATTGGTTGCTCAAGCTGCACCGGAATTTAGGACATCCCGGCGCCATGAAGTTGCGAGAGTTTTGCAAACAGCTGAATTGCCCAGAACGGATCACCAAAGCAGTGAGTGACATCCGTTGCTCAACCTGTCAGGAAACCAAAGGTCCTGCCATCTCAAGGCCTAGCGCCATACATGAACCATGTGATTTTGGCGATATTGTGTCCATGGATGGAGTGGTATGGAAAAATTCAAAAGGTGACCAATTTTTCTTTTATCATTTCCTTGACCAGAGCACTCTGTTTCAGACAGCCGTGGTTGCTCCAGCACACACCACGGAACATGCATGCAAGGCCTTGCTCACAGGCTGGTTCAATTGGGCGGGTCCACCAGGACTGCTTTGTGTAGACTCAGGGACAGAGATGAACTCCGAGGAATTCAGCCAGTTTCTTCAACGCCACAGTGTGCGCTGTAGGGCGTGTGCAGCTGAAGCCCATTGGCAGAATGCACGCACTGAGAGACATGGGGGAATCATACAATTGATGCTCAATAAAATTGATCATGAAAACCCGATTCTCAACTATGACCAACTGTCAGTAGCTTTGAGCCATGTTACAAGCACAAAGAACCAATGGAGCAAACACCGAGGATATCCTCCTGAAATGTTGGTTTTTGGAAAAGGCATTCGGGTCCCAGGGTCAGTGACATCCGATCCCACCATTGCAGCTCATGCGCGCGCATTGTCAAGTATGCCTGATGGTCTCCGATTTCGCCAAGATCTTGCCACAAGGGAAGCAGCCAGGAAGGCATTTGCTGAGGTTGATAATGACCAAACTCTCCGTCGGGCAATTGTCCATCGAAGTCGTCCCAGTCGGGGGGTGTATGAAAAAGGGGAATGGGTTATGATTTGGAAAAAGAAAGGGGAAGCCGATGGTAGCTGGATAGGTCCCATGCAGGTGATAATTCAGGAAAACCAGAATGTGGTATGGGTCACCCGTAACCATAAACTATATAGGGTACCTCCAGAATATGTCCGAAGCTTGTCAGCCATGGAAGAGTACCGACATGCTCCCCATCCAGTTTCTCAAGTTCCTTCAGATGACCAAAGCATTCGCCCAAGTCATGGTGGTGTCCAATACCACGACATGCTTCCCAGTAGCCAAGATGCCCGAGCGAGCGGCTCAACCGAGCCTTCCGGAGCCAATGATGTTCGTGCGGAAACTGTGACCGTGCCCAGAAACAGCAATCCAAATGGAGAAAATCCACCTGACATGTCACCAGCAGTTTCCAATCCCTCTGACCAACCTGACAATGAACCTGATGTCAAATCCATTAACTCCAGTAACCCCAATAACGACAACCCGACAATAATTCCTGACATCAATGCACCCATTGAGGTACCAGTTCCCGACACTTCCGATGAAGAAGGAGGCCTGTATGCCGAAGAGATCCCATGTTATCATCTTCAGGAAAACTAGGGCTTCAAGTTCGAAGTAGACATCAATCAACAGGACATCAATCACTGGCGGGAGGAAACCCGACCTGAAGAAATGCTGTTTTTGGTATCAGCTGCAAAGAAACAACGCAGTGAGGTCAGAATGTCACAGCTGAACTCCCATGACCGAAAATTGTTTGAAGAGGCCAAGGCCAAAGAGATAGATAGCTGGTTGTCTACAGAAACAGTATGTAAAATCCTCCGCAATAAGGTCCCCAGGGAAAATGTGATGAGATGTCGTTGGATCCTCACTTGGAAAGATGCTGACAATTCAGAAGGGAGTCAACAGGACTCAAAGACCTCAGGAATCAGGCCACCTGTGCAGGCGCCTCGGTTGAAACCCAAAGCACGATTGGTAGTGCTTGGTTTTGAGGATCCTCTGGTGGATCAAATCCCTCGAGACTCGCCAACAATGTCAAAGTTGTCCAGAGTTCTTATTCTCCAGCATGCTGCGAGTCTGGGATATGACATTTGTAGCTTTGACATCAAGACTGCTTTCTTGCGGGGGACTGAGCAAAGCAAAAGGATCTTGGGTATTGAACCTCCTGAAGAATTAAGAGTCAAGATGAAACTTCAACCCAATGAAATAGCTCAACTCCTAAAGGGGGCATATGGCCGAGTGGATGCACCGTTCCTTTGGTTCAAAGAACTCAAGCAGAGCCTCGAGAGCTTAGGATTCGAAGCCGCACCCTTTGACCCATGCCTGTTTGTTTTGAGAGATGAAAAACAGAGGGCCGAAGGCTTGATCGGGATCCATGTTGATGATGGATTATGCTGTGGATCACCACGATTTCATGCAAAGCTTTCTCAGCTCGAAGCAAAATATCCGTTTGGCAGCAAGAAAACTCGAGACTTTGTTTTCACAGGGCTCCGGATATCTCAAAAACATGACAATGCCATTTGGGTTAGCCAAGAAAAATATGTGAAAGAAATCAACCCAATTTTCATTGGAAAAGATAGAAAGGTAACACCACATGATGCAGTTACCGAAGGAGAGAGATAAAGCTTGCGTGCGTTGATTGGATCCTTGCAGTATGCTGCCATCAACACAAGACCCGATTTAGCGAGCCGTTTGGGATGGTTACAATCAAACATCAATAAAGCCACCGTAGCAACATTGCTGGAAGCCAACAAAACCTTGCACGAGGCGAAAATGTTTGCGGATGTGACAGTGAAGATACAACCCATTCCATTGGATCACTTGCGGTTTGTAGCGTTTTCTGATGCATCGTTTGCATCTGAAAAAGTACCTGACTCTCACCAAGGAATGATGATCATGTCTTGCCACAAAGACATTGGAGATAACAAAAGCAGCGTTGTGAATCCAATAGTGTGGCATTCCAAGAAGATCCAAAAGGTTGTTGTCAGTACTTTATCAGCAGAGGCAATGTCGTTAGCTGGTGCCGTGGACATTTTGTCCTGGATCAGGTTTTTTTGGGCATGGCTGCGCGACGGAAAATGCCAATGGCAGCTGGCAGATGAAACCCTGCTGCAGCTTCCTCCTGCTTTTGCCGCAATCCCGCCAGAGGAAGAAACCACCACACAGAAACCACCAATCAACATGGCCAACATTCCTTCACTTAAACACCATAACCACCAATCTATAATAACCACGGACTGCAAATCGCTATTTGACCTGATAAGCCGACACGCACCACCATCATGCCAAGAGTTCAGAACCCAGTTGCAAGCAAAGTTAATCAAAGAGCATCTCAATAATGGAATCATGATCAGGTGGGTCCCCAGTCAAGCGCAATTGGCAGATGCCCTCACGAAAATTATGGACGCTGGTATCCTGCGGGAATGCATGGCCCTTGGGAGATACAGCCTCCACGATGAATCCCAGATACTCCGTGCTCGCTCCGATTCCCGAGCGAAACTGCAGTGGCTGCGACATATGTCCACCGATTCCAATCAGGGGAAGTAAGACTGGTTAATTGCAAACATAATTCAATTTGGAAAAGCCAAGCCGTCCTTCAATACTTGACCAGGTTTACAGCTTTTGACTTGTTTCGAGCGTTTTAACTGCCGACAATTTGGGAAGTGAATCCGGTGAAGAGCCTTTGTCGATGCCAAACTCTGCGGACATCTTGAACAATTTTAGAACTTTTGGGAATCTCAAACCTGCCTGTTCAAGATGCCACACCAACCGGTGATACCTATATATCTCCCGATAGCCGAGGGGAGGCTCAGGATAGCCGCGGTGGGAGGGATCCTCGTTGTGGAGCCATAGAAAAGTGAGCGGCCTCACTTGTTGGACTACTTGGTCAGGGACCTCATTACTTTGGGATATCTTTGGATCAGGGCATTCAAACCTTTTTGGTATTTGGACAGGGTTCCTTACAATTGGTTGTGATCAGGGATCAACATTGGAAGATACTGCTGCCAATCACTTTGTGAATATATATGTATATATATATGTATATGTAAATATATATATATATGTATAGTTATATATATATACATATATTTATATACATATATAATATACATATATATATACATATATATACATACATATATACATATATTTATATCCACAAGATTCCACAAGAACTTAACCACACTTGTTGACCATGGTTGAACAATTCTGGCTAACTCATAATTAATTCACGAACCTGCAAGCTTCGGCAAATTTATGATACTTTCCGAAACCGAACAAAAAAATCACCATAGTGTTTGTTCATGTTGGTTCTTCATCTCATCAATCTTCGACAAAAATGACAGAAAAACCATGGAAAAAACCATGGCAAAACCATGACCCTCTCCTCCTCAAAGACCTCGGCCCACTGTTGGAACGCCACTTGCAGCTGCGCCACATCTGCCACATCCAAGGTGCGGCGCAGGGAGAGGAGCTTCGCGGCGCGGGCGTGCCAGGCACCAAGGAACTGGGGACCTTTGCTGCAGAACCTCGGGCTCTGGGGAAACGGGGGGATAGTGTCAACCTGAAAACTGGGGAAATTCCAAGGGGAAACTAAATTCCAAGGGAAATTTATGGAAAAAAAATGATGTTTCAAGAGTTGAGTAAGATTGAAGAAGGATCTTCAATCCAAGTTCATTGATTCCAAGGAGCCGGGAATCCAAACCCCATCAAAACCCAAAACCCAAATCTGTGAAGTCGGATTTTCTCCAAGGGGCCAGCTCTGGAGCCTCCGTCGTTCCTCCTCTTCCTCGCGTTTGTGCTCCCAAACCTCACAGAAGTTTTTGGCCAGCTGATGGGTATGGTCATATCAAAACATCAACAGACGTGTAACATTGAATCAAATTAGATTCATTGAGTTTGAACAACGTGATCTTCAATGCTAGTTGGATGGTATATCCCATTCTATTCACATAATCTTCCCAACATACACCCAGCATGGCTGTATATACCCATTCTTTGCCTTTATCCCCCATTCTATCCCCTTCTGGGCATTTCAGGTACTTTCTGTGGGGGCACATACACTATGTAAGACCTATGCTGTACCTCTGGTGTAGGTACCTGAAATAGCCATTCAGCCATTCTAGCTCCAAATTCATCGTATTTCTGCATCCCAGCTGCATACTCTGCCAGGGCTCTGAAGATGCGGCACTGCAAAGAAGTTCTGCGTGCCAAGAGGGCTCGATCCAAAGCCTAGGACTAATTACGGGAACCCCATTCCCCTACTTGTGGGTGCAGTTCCAGTTATAGATGTATGCGTATATATGTATATATACATATAATATAATGTGTATATCAAATATTATATATGTTATTATACCTATATAACCATTGTCAAAGTGGTCATATATCAACTTATAGAGGTGAACTCACCATAGTTGTGCCCATTCTTATCACCCCCGACCTGCAACACGTATAGCCTCCGAGTAATGTAACCTGGCAATATCCATTAAGACTATCCCATATTTTAATGTATTTTGTTATGCCATTGCCATGTTGAACTGCCAGAGAGTAATATCAAATACGGGCGATATGATGGTATTTGATATTGGGGGAATGGGATTACCAACTAAATTTGATGTTTGGGTGCACCATACGAATGTCATTCCCCATGCACATTGAGTTTCGTACAGGGTTTACCACCGTACACATGATCAAGCACTGCATTGCAGTAACTTCCAAAAACGTCAGAAAATGAGTTAACGAACTTTTGGGGGATTAGTACATAAGGGGTTTCAAAACAACGGACATAACTATACATTTAAGCCGACTTAATGAACATCTCCGCTCATGACCTGTAGGTATCATATCAGTATGCGATGAAACTGTCGATGCATCAATAATACACGTATATTATATATATATATATACAGCCACTGATGATGATGATGATGATGATGATGATGTGATGATGATGATGATGATTATGATGGTGATGATGATGATGATGATGATGATAATGATAATGATAATGATAATGATAATGATGTGATTATGATGATGATGATGATGATGATGATGATGAGGATGATGAGGATGATGAGGATGAGGATGAGGATGAGGATGAGGATGAGGATGAGGATGAGGATGAGGATGAGGATGACGACGACGATGACGATGACGATGAAACATTTGCTTTCAGAACATTCAATTGACAGATCCATGGTGTTAAGTTTGGGTCAAGCCACCAGTTCTCGCTGAACCTCTTCAGTGGCCTTGGCTTTCAGCTGTGTCGCCTCAGCCTGTGCCGGGTGTCTTCGGGTTTGTAGGTTTGTAGATTTGTAGACCCTCCAAGTGGCTAGAAAAATGAGACTTGGGGACTTTTCGTAGTCATATACAATAGTTTCCATTTCTAGAACCGTTACGACTTGGGAACTTTCAACTATTTTTTGTGACTACTTGGAGGGTCCCACGGTGGGTGAATTCATGGAAATTTCGCTGTGAATTCTATGGTCCATGATTCCATGATAAGCATATAGGTTAACTATGGTATGGTTAACATAGTTAGTACGAGTTAATAGGAGTTATAAACAAATCTATAACTGGGGCCCACCTTTTTTGACACTGTAGATACTGATTCCGCCCTGTTTGCACCACAACGATTCTGCCAGAGGCGCAGCACTTACTCCTTCCGGGGATGAGAAGCTTCCCAGCTTAGGGGATTTCCATAGTCATGGGGATACCCCAAGCTCGCTGGTTGGTTTCTTTCATGGAAAATCCCCTATCTAGAAATGGATGATTTAGGGGTACTCCTATTTTAGGAAACCTATTCACGTGTATATTCTAGTATACTGGATTATATTTACACATATCACTATATCACCATATCCAAGTCACGTCATGTTTTGAAACGGTCGACTTCCGCCTCTAAGGTTGCTGCCTCCCGGGCGTCGCGAGATGCCTCCTGGGAAAGTCGCGTGAGCTCCTCACGTTGCTGCTGCAGTTCATGCAGCCGCTTCTCCTGGACGGCTGGGTTTAGATGTTTATAGTTTGTATACCATGATATATCATTATAGACCATATATATACCATTATATACCATTATATACCATAATGGTCTATAATTTTACCATGAAACAATAATGAAAAACCATGAAACATCCCATGTTCAAGTGATATAAACTGTGAACTTCCTGGGATATGTTGGGGCCGCTGGGCAGGATCATATGTATATAGTATATAGCATATATGTGCATATGTATATATCTATATATGTATATATGTATGTATATATGTATATATATATATATGTATATGTATGTAAATGTATGTATGTGTATGTATGTGTATATATATATGTAGGGATGTTTCCTAAAATGTGGTACCCAAAAACGGATGGTTTATATATATAACGGAAAATCCCATTAAAATGGATGATTTGGGGTACCCCCATTTTCCGAAACCTGAACATATATACTTGTGTGTATGTATATATATATATATCTCTCTCTCTCAATAGGGGATGAACGAACAAGGCTTGCCGAGCGCGTGGGGATGTGCTGCACATCCATGGGGATACGTTCGCAAAAAATAAGGCCGAACCCCAACGAACAAACATCACTTCTGGGTCATGAAAGTTATGTCATGTTATATCATAATATTGAATCACATTGCATCATATTGCAATGTCTTGTATCATGTTATATCATATACTATCATATTATGTTCCATCATCGTTCTTGCTGTTTCAGTCAAAGATACCCTCTGGTGATTTTCCCTTTGCTATTGAACATGGACCATTCATAATTGATTTACCCATTAAAAAATGTGATTTTCCATAGTTATGTTAGTTTACCATAGTTTACCAGAGGGTATTTACAACTATGCCATTCCAATCTCCGTTGGTTTTTCAAGGACCAGCCCAGGGATGGACTCCTTCTCCTCGCACTTTGCTTTCAGAGCTTTCTGCAGGTCACATAACTCCTGCAAAAAACAAGCAAAGCTAAGAAATTTTGGACCACTCAGGATGCCAATGGTAATGAATGCACTTAGCATTTCAGCAGGCTAAAAATTGCCAAGTTTCATCCATGGGAAATTCAGACAGAGATGGCTAGAAATGGCATTACCCGGCCTGGTAAACTAACACTTTGCTACTGAAAATGGCCATAGAAATAGTTGATTTACCCATTAAAAATGGTAATTGTCCATACTTATGTTAGTTTACCAGAGGGTATACAGTGTCCGTCTGAACGGAAGCATCCGCAGCTTGGCTCGCACCTACTGACTGAGCAAATGCGCTCCTCATCATGCAACTGCGTATCGCGTAAGAGTTTCCAAGCATTTTCCTGACAACTTCACCCACTTTCAGTGACAAAAAGCCATGGAAAAAAATCGGGAATCACCGAGAAATATTATGTAAGCATATTATATTATACAGATATATATATATATGTAATTATCAAACATCCTCGAACTGGGAGATATGCTACTACTGTGGACACAATATTGCGCAGTAGGTCACATGTGCATCATTTGTCATACTTTCCTCTCCGCTCAGGGGTCGAAGCTTGGTCCAAAGACATCTGAACTTTATTCGATGAGATTTGGTATGTCAAATGATCCTTCCAATGGAATCAACAGATGTCCATCTTTGGTATGTCCAAAGAATTACCAGACAATTTTGTCAGCAGTCTTGACCCCAGCCAGCCTCATGGTGGTTCAGTCACCATCCCCAATATCCAATGTGATGCAAATGGCTTTTTTTCCTGTATAATACCATTCGAAAATGACCAGTACTGATCCCTTTTATGTTTTTTTTAATGGGGTCTTATGATGTTTTATGATGTTTTATGATGTTTTATGATGTTTTATGCTTGTAAAATGACCCAAACTTTTGTCATGGTTACGAACCATGACCCTTCGCACTTCCCAGCGTTTTCCCCCCGCGCCTCCGCTGCTCTCCTGCGAAGAAGGTGATTTTGCTGTGCTGGACGCAACTCGGCCATCTTCGCCTCGCCGAGGTCCATCTGCTGGTAGCTGCTATAGGAGCTATGGATATCCATTGGGTATCCATATTCCCATAAAAATTACAGGATTTGATAGGCATTCCCTATGAAAATCATTGAAAATCCGTGAAATTTTGAACTAAATCATATGAAAAATCAATGAAATGAAGAGCCAGTGCAAAAAAAATATCTACAATTTTTTTGTTTCCCACATGGCCTGTCAATGAAGCAACAGCTATGGCAGCTATGCATAGATCAAGTGCCCAACTCTCATGGCCCATGCAGATTCTCTGCTGGAGATCGAGAAGCAGGAGATCTCCCCCAAACCCTCCACGCATCCTCCAGCACACTCCGATTCTGCAAGGATCTTTGAAGGTTTTCCGTGAGTTTCACCATCCTGAGCCCCAAATTCTGGCACCAAATTCTGCCCCTTCCAGCAATGATGTACCAGAAAACATCGAAGCATCCTGATTCAACACTTATAGACGATGCTGAACCACACCTCTAAGGATTCTAAGGTCTAAGTCAGCTCAGTATCTCTTGCTCGGCCACCGCTGATGTCTTGCTGGAGTCTAAGTCAGAGCAGACAAGATTTATCTTGAAGTTCAATCCATCGCAATCCATCGCGACATCTGTGGACTGTGATGTGACTAGGCCTTTTTTCCCGACATTCCGCAAGAGCCTCTTGGATGTCACAGATTTCACTCAGAGATGACTATAAGGCCATGGCCATTTTCCAGCTGTTTGAGTTTTTTTTTAGAGTCCTGGACAGCCGACAGCCACGTGACTGGAGACACGGTGGACATGCAGCGAAGTTTTGCCTGAACAGTCCTCCACGTCCTTTCTGATGCGTCGCTCATTCACCAGTTGACGCTCTTTCAGAGCCTCAAGAGGTCTACTTGGATGTCCCAGCATCTCAGTCAGCAGGTGGTTTATAGCCCATATAACCTATATATATATTATGTATATACATATATTATACTGCATATATAATATATAATTAGGTCATGTTGTATATTATAATATATATATATATAGTGTGTATAACATATCCATATATATAATGTATACTCATATATATATGTATATTTATTTATTTATTTATCTATTTATTTATATACATCTGTACATCAACAAAGCCACATACGATGCCTGGGATGCACACCCAAAGGGCCAGCCGGGCCTCCAATCGCTTCACAGACTTCTCCGGCATGCCGACCCAGTCGCCTTAGGTGATGCTGGCAGTCTGTGCTGTCCAGAAATCCCCGAAATACTTAAATATGATGTTTAAATGGGGATTTAAATGATGTTTACACTTTGATCATTTATGATGTTTAAATGGGGGTTTCCATAAGTATGGGTGTACCCCCAATAGCTGGATGTTTATAATGGAAAATCCCATCTAGAAATGGATGAGTTGGGGGTACCCCTATTTTATGAAACCTCCAAATGGGGAAAAAAACAACTCTAGTTCTTTTTAAAAAAAGTGGGTTGTCCTGTCCATTGCTATCTTTGATTACTGGAGGGTATATTGATGTACCATGCAAATTACTCAGCCTTTTTCAACGAATCACATTCATTCCCGAGCTATACATCTCTGTGGGTGTACCCAACAATCAACACCGCCACACCAGGGATGTGTGGAATACACCATCAAATTTTGAAGTTTTCTTATTGGGCTTACTGCATGCATCGCCATGAAAAATATACCTCCCATCTCATTCTGCTGGTTGATTTTTAGAACGGGATCCCATTCTGATTTATAGGTTAGTTCATAATCCCCAATAAACATCAATTATAACCATAATAGACCAGCAGCTTACTAACCCATCTAACCCCCTACAGCCAGGGCTATCTTCGACTCATCTGGCATCAATGTCGTTCTCTCCAAAAGATGCCCATTTAAGTGCAATGACTTGCTTTGTGCTGGCGGAGGGCGGTCAGCATCCTGAGATGCCGAAAAGTCCGTTGGAAAGCTGGGTAAATGTAAGATATCGTCGAAGTACCTGGAAACTGGAAACATAGAATCTATCTTCTTGGGGGTTGCTATTAAATATGATGTTTAACTCCCATAAGTTCTGGGTGTTTTTAAGGATTGGTCTGCATGTGAGGCAACACCATCCACCATGAGAGGTTGTGGGCGAACTAAATCCTGGACCAGTTGGTACTGGATGGATCTGGATGGTGGATATGACCAAATCTTAGACCGGTTAATTAGATTTAATGTAGATACGAAGCCCCTTTTTTTGGGGGTTGAACAAATAGGCTGCCCAAGCCAGAAACCAGCGGTGAAAAAAACACCAAATTCTACCTATTCAAATGGCCGTCATTTTTTGCACATTGAGATTGGTCATGTCATGTCAGAATTTGGGTATATCATGGTATATCCATGGTGCTGCTACATATGGTGTGCCATGGATCCCATCAATATACCTCAGTCATGTTAGCATAGAAAAACCAGCACCATGGATATACATCATGGGGTATATCCATGGTATCTCACCGTTTCCCGTTTACGAGCGATTCCCCAATTTTGGGACTACAGACGACCAATCCGGGGAGCCGAAATCACTTTGGAAAATCGCCGGAAATCACGGATCCGCGAGATCCGCCGAGGTCATCGAGGTCGATAAAAAATGCGGAAAAGGCTTAGCAAAAATACCATAGAAATCCATAGAATACCATTATTCCCATAGGATCCATGTATGGTATATATGCTAACATTGGGGGTATATTGATGGTAAATGTCACCATATATAGCATACATGGATCCTATGGGATTCTAGTTGCAAAAAAAACACGTTGAATCTATGTCAGTAGGATTTATGCTTTTCATTGCTTTTCGATCTTTATGTGGGCTGCCACTGGTTGGAAATGAAAAGTTGCACCAAACTGCTTGAAAACACCGGCATAACTTCCCTCGCAGTTTTCAAGCAGTTTGGTGCAAATATTCTTTGTCGCATTGATTCCTAAATCAGCCGTCAGAATCCTTTGTCAATTTGCTGTCGCTGTTTAAGCCTGGTCAAATTGGTTTCGAAAACACGAGCTCAAACGGCCATCTCAAAAAGCAACCAAGGACGAAGGCAATCCAATCCACCTGAGGGATCCTGAGGGTGGGAGACCCAGGTCATGGATTGTGATACTTATGATGGCTAGGTTTGGGTAGTATAACCCCACATAACTATGTATTGAGCATATACATAACAATTTAACAGGTAATTAATATATATATACATAATGTTCAAACCTTTCGACCACTCTTCAAACTCTTCAAACTGCAGCTCTGCAAGTTGGAACCGCTGGAACCAGACCCTCAGAGACCTCCCAGCCCGGTCTCAACCACCTGCTGGTCGGACTTCACAAAATCAAATCCCCTCAGTACCAAATCCCCTGCTGCCAGGATTTTATGGGAAGCAGCCCAACACTAAATGCGATGTTAATATTTCATGGGTTCGGATACAGGACTCCACAAGCTTCTGGGCCTGTTGGGTCCCTGTCAAACCATCAAGCTACAAAGAATGTTGGTCACTGATCATGATTCACTTGGCTTCGTCCTAAAAATGGGGCAGAAAATGGCCAGAATGCACCCGTAAGTTACATGGCCATCTT